GATTTCTTTGATATCTCTCTAGTTTCCATTCATTTTTGTGAGGACGAGGCCCTTTAAGGAAGCCAGTTATAAAGCTGACAGTAAAAATTTAATCCACAGACCTTGTAAACAGCCAGATGACACACATTCTATGCAGCTTTAGATTTATTATGTGACCCAGTGGGATAGTAATATGCTTATGATATGCAGACTTGAGACTTCAATAACAAAAGTCTTTTTTTTTTTTTTTAAGAGAAAAGAATAGTTCTGACATGTATATCTCAGGGATATTTTCTTCAAATTTATTTTAGCTCTTGTTATTTCTCTGAATTTTAAGATAGTTTTCTTGCTTTGCGCATGACCCAAAGAAAAAATATCATTTCTAGGGTGCCTGGGTGGCTCAGTTGGTTAAGCGACTGCCTTCGGCTCAGGTCATGATCCTGGAGTCCCGGGATCAAGTCCCGCATCAGGCTCCCTGCTCAGCAGGGAGTCTGCTTCTCCCTGTGACCTTCCTGCCTCTCATGCTCTCTCTCTACCATTCTCTCTCAATAAATAAATAAATAAAAATCTTTTTTTTTTAAAGATTTTTTTTTTATTTATTTATTTGAGACAGAGAGAATGAGAGAGAGAGAGAGAGAGAGAGAGCGCACATGAGAGGGGGGAGGGTCAGAGGGAGAAGCAGACTCTCTGCTGAGCAGGGAGCCCGATGCGGGACTCGATCCAGGGACTCCTGGATCATGACCTGAGCCGAAGGCAGTCGCTCAACCAACTGAGCCACCCAGGCGCCCATAAATAAAAATCTTTAAAAAAAAAAAAAATATCATTTCTAGTAATACTGTTACTACAGAGCAATATATACTGGTGATAGTCATGGTCATAATTTTTAATTGTGATTGGGCCTGATGAAAATTTTATTCTGTTCTCACGAAATTAATATTTGGTTTGTATAGCTAGAAATATGCTGATTTGGTGATTATTGTATAAAAATTATGTTGAAAACCTGAAGTATTCTTGAGACATTTTATTAGGCGTTATAAAGAGTGGAACACATTTTCTTATGTGTTTTCTACATCTGCAACAACGATCAGACTTGGTGCATAAAAAGATATATGATATGATACATAAAATATATATGTATAGTTCATGGACGAGTTCATTTGTTATTACCAGCAGATATTGGTGTCATTGGTGACTTGGCATTTAAGTGGGGGAATGTTCTATAGCTGAAGGATAATGTAATTAATAAGTCTGAGAAGTTTGGCACCCTGTAGAAATGAAAAACTGAAGCATAAGCACCCTTTAAAAAGCTGAATTTTATCTGGTACTTGTAAAGTATATTATGCCGAGACTTTGACAAGTCATGCCATCACAACTCCTTTGGTGGTATTGGAATCTTTGACAAAAATATTTATTCACCGGCCTATGCACTAACAGCTTACTACTTAAAATAGCTCCTGACTTCAGGCTGTATGTAGATGTTGTGGCTTTGGTTTGGTTAACATAGGCGTGAGGCTTCATTCTGTCCCAAGTTATTTCATCATCAAGCTGCTAAATCATAGCCGCACGTTGTATTGTCCTGGATTTGGAAAAAGAGAAAGAATTGGTTAGGGTGGAATATCATAGTTTTGGAAGACTAAAAGCAACCCTTTGTTCCAATATGGGTGCTCTAAAAACAAAAGAGTTTCTTTCTTTTAGTAATAATATAATCTACTCTTTGTAGAAAACTAAAACATCAAGAAAGATGTAAAGAAGAAAGCAAAAGCTCTGTCAGGTACCACTCTCCACTTTACTATAAGAAACCTCCTCAGCATTTCGTACGACATCTTCCTACACCCATTCTACATGTGTGTATGTATGCAGCAAACGGTATTCTATCTATAATGGTTTGCATTGTGCTTTTGACACTCAAAATATGGTATAGTGGGTTTTCCATACCAAAATAAATATACAGTAGCCACTCAAATTTAGTTATCAGGTTTATATCTGCCAGTGGGCATTTAGGAGGTTTTTTAAAAAAGTTTTTGTTTATGTAAATAATTGCCAGATCTGTGTCTGTCAAGGGAGTTGGTTAGTCAAAGAGTATGTGCATTTGTCAATTTGGTCAATAGAGCCATACTGCCACTCAGAAAATGTACATTCCCGGTTATAAGATATAGGATTGCTGGATCTTAACCTTTTTGTCGACAATGAGTAATATCCATTCTCCTCACTTTTGCTGATCTGATATACCACAGAGAGTATTTTTTTTTTTTTAACTTTTGTTCTCTCATTGTACTCCTGGCTTTAAATACTAACAATATATAATCTGACATCCCCAAATATTCTACACTATAATGCAGACTTGAAAGGTTCCACTGTCTACTAAACATCTTTGATTAGTCATTTGAACCCACCCAAAACTGAACCCCTCTTATCTTTCACCAGACTTGTTTCTTGCTTGCTCTTTCATGTGTTAGTTAATGGCTGATCCAGCCTACCATCACTCTGGTCACAATCTTAGATCTTCTTTTCTGTGTCTCATGCTTCAAATTCAAGGCTCTCCACAAAACCTGTTGACTTGCCTCATATATCCAGAAATCTACCACTTCTCTTTACAATGGTAGCTACCACTCTGATATAGGCCTTAATTATCTCTTGTTTGGTTTATTGCTGTTCTTCTCCAGTTTCTCTGCTTTGCCTTGTTCCCCTCTCTCCTTTTCTCAGCACAGCCACCTTAGTATCCTATTAAATGTCAAGTGAATCATGCCACTCATATGCTCAAAACTCATTTGAGATTTTTTATCTTTTTCAGTAAAAGACAAAATTCCTACAGCGGCCAGCCAGGCTCTACGTGATTCACTTCTCCTTCCCATTCTTTGCCCATTTTTTTTCTGGCCTCATCTCCCCACTTCTGTGCTTCTTCCACATGTACTCCAGCCACACTGGCCTCCATAGTGTTTCCTGCCCAGCTGCCTCTGAGGGAGACATGCCCTTGCTCCCTCACTTCCATCAGTTCTTCTCTCAAGTCACCTTCTCAGTTAGAATTTCTGTTTAAAATTGATACCCCATTCTTTGAAACTTTTGCTATCCCCTTTCCCTTCCTTTTTTTTCTCTATAGAATGTTTTTCATATTTTATCATTTGTTCTTTGTCTTTCTCTCTTTGCCAGTGTGAGAGCTCTGTGACAGCAGGGACTTAGTCTTCTGTTTTTACTACTATATCCCCAGTGTGTACAACAGGACTGACACATAAGGGCATGCAGTGCATAGCATGGACTGGGTACAAAATAAGTAATGAAGGATATTGCAAGAGTGCTACTAGGAGAAGTCTTTTTGCCCCTTTTCTTTGGAGTTTTCATTTTTTTCCTGTTAATGTGCCATAACTCCTTATATTAGCAGCTTAAAATTTTTATTTCATGTTGCAAATATTTTCTTTGTCACCAAACATTTTTGCCTTGCAGTTTTAAATTTAATGCCTTCTCTCATCTGCATATCTGAGTTTCTGCCATGCTTAGAAAGCCTTTTCCTGCTCAAAAAGTATTTAACAATTCACTCATATTTTCTTCTAGTATATTTACAGTTTATTCTTCACATTTGCAAAAAAGGCTGAATTGAAATGGGATTTATTTAAAGGGGTGAATGAATAATAGATCCAGTTTAATTTTTTCCTAAATGTCTGTACAGTTGCCTCAAAACCATTCACTAAACAGTCCACTGTTCTCCTACCAATTTGAAGGACCATATTTTCCTATACTAAGTGTCCATATATTTTATGTAATGAAAGAAACTTATTCTCTGTTCTATTTTATTCCCAGCTATCATGTTCATTTATGTGGCTAAATAACACATTTGAATATGTGTAGTGGTTTATCCCAAGTTTTAAATATTTGTTCCCCTCGTCCTTTATACTTTTTACCACTGAAAACAGGCAGGATAATCCCTTTTTCACCAACATTATGTTAATAGGTAATACTTACATCTTGAATTTTATAATGTACATTAAGAAAATGTTTAAATCTTTATGCTGTGAATAAAGTGCTTTATTTATTCCCTTTATTTTTATACCACATGTATCATAAAAACTAATGAATTACATGATTTGTTTTATTATCATAAGAGAAAATAGTTCAATTTTTGGTATTTTAGCATTTATGAGCATTGTTATCTTGCCATCCATGGTAGAATAGGATTTTATACACTGACTTGTGCCAAACAGGTTAATACTGATGTGCAATAAAAAAAGTGAAGTTAACAAGCATACTGTTTTGTTGTTTGTATTGTTCTTATTTCTGATTTTCTGTTTATTGTTTCTCAGTGTATTTTTGTTTGTTGTGTGTTTAAAGGTGCTTGCTGCATCTACATTGTTTGATCTCAGGGAAGTTACTGAAATTCTTTGAGCCTTAGTTTTTTCATCTGTAAAATGGGGACAGTAATAGTATGTTGTCCATCCAATTACTGTTAGAATTAATTGAAAAAATTCATGTAAAGTGTTGAGTGCAGCAGTGACACAAAATAAATATTTAATGAATATTACCTGGTTTAAGTATGAGTAAATGTTCTAGTTTAATTTAGGAGGAAAAGGGTATCTAGGACTAAAAATTATTGGAACTTATTCAATCAAGTTGAGGATAGAAGGTGGAAACTGTCTCCTTTTACCAGTTTCCTTTGATTATGTTGAAAATGTTGTGGTAGCATAGTAAAAGCTTGTCCAGTAAAAAAGAAGTTTTAGTCTTCAGAGAAATTACAAATCATTTTACTCTGCAGAGTAAATCCTGAGAAATCTGTGTATATTCAGATTAGCATTTTGAGATTATAGGGACAATTTCCTTTATTACTTATCAAATTTATAATTAATGTGAGAACTTAAAAATACAGTTGTTTTGCATATTTGTGTCCACGGTTTTATAGTGAAAGAACATCATCAGAAGAAACAAGATACTGTCTACCTTCCCATTCCTCTCCCACATCATGAATACAAGCTCTGGTTATTGTCATGATCAGATGATTCTAGATCCTCCTGATTCACAGTTTCTTTCATCTGCAGACCCATTCTGAAGAGAGACCATTCCAGTGTGAGGAATGTAAAGCTTTGTTCCGAACCCCATTTTCTTTGCAGAGACACCTGCTCATACATAACAGTAAGTCACAATACAAGCAGTTGAGGACAAAGTGAATTATCTCAAACTTCGTTCTTACAACTTTTGAGAATGTAGGCATCACAGAAGTGGACCTATATGTGGTTATGTGATCTGCTTTTGAACATAAACAGGGCTGATAATCCTGCTTTTCACCTTTTCTTCCTTTATCCTTGCTTTATTTTCCCACATTAAGATAAATCATTTTATGAGACATTTTATTTTATATCATTTCTTTGTCCTATTTAAGGTTTGTATATAAAATCTTCTCTTATATTCAGTAAGGTACCTTTGAAATTTGTTCTGAAATAGACATTTTTGTTCCCTTTTAAATATAATGATTAAGGAAACATGTCTGACCCTTTAAAACATGCAGATGTCTGGCATGGTTTTATTAGCTCACAGACTTTTAAAGTTGGAAAAGATCAGAGTACATATCTAATAACTTCTAATATCTACATATCTAATAACTTCTTACTTCTTTTGGCAGGAGCACTTCTTTTTCTTTTGAGAGAAGTTACACACATACACAGCATGCAAATTTGTAAGGCAGGTACACTCAGAGCTGTATTTAGAATATAGCACCTTATACCCACATCGCTGAAAGGCCACTTTACATCACTTTATTTCAGAGAAAATGCTATTGCTAAGCTGAGTTTTAAAGTGGGTTCAGATATCAAAGTAACTGGACATTTGCTGCATTGCTCTATCTAAAAGTAAAGAAAAATGGCGTAACGTAGGTAATCTTTGTATTGATTGCTTTTGAATTGTTTAGTCAGTGGAACATCTTCTGAAACAAAGTTCCTACTGCTGATTAAACTTTTAATATTTCTGAGGAAAGCAAAACAATTAATCAGTTGTGACAAGTGTATGGATAAGATAGTGTCTTGGAAGAAATTTTCTCCGGTCAAATACAAGTGTCTAAAACTCAAAATACCGAAGATATTAAAGTTTTTAAAAATACCGAGCGGTAATGATCATGACGAAATGCCTCTTTTCCTACATAAGAGGTAGTGTTAAGGTCTCGGGCCATTCTGCATTTGACCTTACAGCTCTGGAGAATTGGTCAACACCACTTTCTGTTTCTTTATTAAGGACAGCCATGCATTTAAGAAATAAAATTTGTCATGTAACAGCAGGAATTTCCATCCCATTTCGCTCTCATTTGATTAAGAAAGACAATCATTATGAGATGAATGGATTTTAGAGTAGGGATTTGGGACTAGTGAACCTCCTTAATACTATTAAGACTTCTGTGGCCAAATTTGGCCTGATGCTCAGGAAATTTTTCTTTAGACAGATGAAAATTTAATTTCAATAGCGACAAGGAATATTTATTATAAGGAATCTGCTACTTTTGATTTCTGCTGATTGGTTCTCATATACTTGAGACAGAGGATTGAAGCAGTGGTGTAGACTCTGCTTGCACACTCTGTATTTAATATAATGTCGATCAGTACATTAATCACAGGCTTTATGAAGCTGCACCGACATTTGGCTGGAAAATCAGCTTTGTAGTTGACTGAGTAAGTGGGTTATTGAAGGTAAAGTTAAACATCAGATAAGGCGAGTCAGCTAAAAGGATGGGAAAAACCAGAAGTAGATAGAATAAGACAAAATACTAGATGTTATCTTACACAATATGAAAATTAAAACCTGTTTAACTTCAAAACATGCAGGCTGTTTTAGAAACTTCTATCAGCATTCTGGCTCAAAATATGAAGAATAGCTTGTCATAATTACTTTGGGAATTACTGCTATTTTCTAACACACTGAAAACCAAAAGGCAGGTTACTAAATAGCTTCTTGGTTTTAAGATAGGAAAAATCCTATCTTTAATCCTATGTTTATTTCTTTAAGGCAAAGAAATCTGATAACATCAGATTAAATCTCATCAGAGTTAAAAAATTCTGATAAGCTTAAAACAAAGAAATCTGGAATTAAAATATGAAAGAAGAAAGATAAGGCCTCCCTTGGTATAGCTTGAAGAGGTCTTTGTATAGGAATCAATATTTTGATTCATGTGATAGTTTAATAGAAATGCTTTAATAGGAGAAATCTTGGAGGTTTACTTTTTTGTTTTGTTTTTGTTTTTTGTTTACTTAATTGTAAAGATTTACTCATTTATTTTGAGAGGGGGGTTGGGGAGGAGCAGAGGAAGAAGGAGAGGGAGGGAATCCTAAGCAGACACCCTGCTGAGCACAGAGCCCTAAGACACAGGGCTGGACCCCTGGCCCTGAGATCATGACCTGAGCTGAAACCAAGAGTTTGACCCTTAACCGACTGAGCCACCCAGGCACCCCTTGTTTTTGTTTTTTAATTTCTCTTTGTTCCTGAGTTGCTTTGGTATTATTTATAGTCTTATGTCATTGATACTTTCTTTTACTCTCACTGGTTATACATTTTATACAAATAAAGTATTTAAATAAATCTAAAAAGATATGTAAAGACAAACTAGTAATAGCACCGAGCAACAAAAATGCACAAAGGCAACGTACAAACATAGCTCTCAGAATCTCCACAGTTCTTGCATGGTTTGGGTGTCACTTTGTTCCAAGCATCAGATTTCAACAGGGCTCTCAGAGATTTTACGTTAAAGAGCCATAATTCTGTTTGAAAAGGGTCATTTGTCTTTTTCTTTTTTTCTTTTTTCCTTCTTTTTGTCCTTCCTTCTTTAAATTTGGTATGAAGAAATAATAAGATCTTCACATTTCTAAATCTGTGCTAGTTCTAATGGAGGGAAATCAGATGAGTTTGGTTGAAATTGAGGTAATCTCTTATTTCAATGTAGAAAGTTATCTGTATATTTTGTCTTATAATGAATATAATATGTGAATCTGTACTAATATAATTGTTCTTTAAAAAGGGAAAATATGTTCAAATATTAGTCTGTCTAGGGGCGCCTGGGTGGCTCAGTCGGTTAAGCGTCTGCCTTGGGCTCAGGTCATGATCCCAGGGTCCTGGGATCGAGCCCCGCATCGGGCTCGCTGCTCAGCAGGGAGCCTGCTTCTCCCTCTCTCTCTGCCTGCCACTCTGCCTACTTGTGTTCTCTCTCTCTGTCAAATAAATAAATAAAATCTTAAAACAAACAAACAAACAAATACTAGTCTGTCTAATTTATATAATTGTGTTAAAATTCCTGAGAGGTAAAACTGCCTTCTAATTGTGCACATGCATCGCTTAAATGTATTTAATGTATTTAAATAGACCACTAAAAGGTAGACGTGTTTGTTAAGAAGACCTACAAGGATAGCATTATATGAAAGTTTAAAAAGTACCATACCATACAACCCCTAAACATAGTTTGTGGAGTTGCTTTCCCTGTGGGTCTAGGCTATAGAATGAGAACAAGGTGAAAACCCTCAAAGGTACCCCGGGGCTCTTGGGTAGAAAAGGATAATTGTCCCAATCCAACTGCCTCTCTGAGAGGCAGCCCCCTAACCTGTCTGAGGAGAGCCTGGGAGCTGCGCCCCTTCCCTGGCTAATGAATTAATTAGCAGACCAAGGACCATGTTAGGGTGCCTCTAGTCCAAGTTCCTGAGATAGTGCTGAGGAAGTAAAGGGGTGTTGTAGCCCTCTCCTGTCCTAGAAGGGGGCTGGCTCTGACCTATTTCTGTGTGCCCCCAGGGGCTTCCCTCCCCACTGTGCTACCCATGACCCTATTCTGCTTGTGCCCTGTCCCTTAAAGGCCATAAAGGTTGTGGAGTGAGGGGAGTTTAGGAGGGACCCCAAAAGCCACTAACTCTGCTTGACAGAAGCCTTTTGTCACAAGAATCTACTTACTTCAAACCTGAGCCCCTGCCCTAGAAAGACTTACTTTCTTAAAGAAAGTTCATGGTTCCTTTAGAAAATTAGCTAACTGAGTCTCCACCTTTTCCAATAAAAGAGGCTGAGAACATAAGGTTAAAGTACTTCCCACTGGTCACATAATGAATGAACAAATATGGAATTGAAAGATGTGAAAAATTACCTTTTCTGGTTATGATAAATTGTTAGTAATAAAGCTAACTTTTTGGAGAAGAGAACACTACGTCTGGAACCTATGAGGGAGAGTTAACATCACCCTGCTATTGCATCTGATCTTTCTCTTATTTGACTTTTTCACTTCTCAGGTGAGAGGACTTTCAAGTGCCATCACTGTGACGCTACCTTTAAAAGGAAGGATACCTTAAATGTTCACGTCCAGGTGGTCCATGAAAGACACAAGAAATACAGATGTGAGCTATGTAATAAGGCATTTGTTACACCTTCAGTGCTTAGAAGTCATAAGAAAGTAAGTAGAAGCCTTCTGTGAGTTTAAATGGATTACATATTCAGCAATATAGGCATGCATGCTAATTATGTGATAATCAATTTTATATTAATCAACATATTTCCTCAAAATGACAAGGGATGCATGGTTTATATGAGCTCTTCAAAAAATGTCTGCTCTTTACTTTTTCAGAAGAGATATATAATTTGGATGAAGGTGAACCTAGTTTTAGGTATGGATTCTGCATAACACCGAGCTATGGTGATAGATGGGTCAAAGTATTTGATGAGTGGGAGCTTGTCAATTTTTGTACATTTTTGAATTATTGTGGGTTTTTATCTAAAAAATGATTAGTGCCTTAATTTTATTTTTCAGAACTAAAAATTCAGGTGTTTATTGACAAGTTATTAGATTGAGCTCTTTTCTAGGATTGGAATGGTCCTTCTTCATCTTGCATCTCTAGGGCCTAGGGAGGTTCCTGGCACAGAAGAGGGACTTGATAAGTATTTGCTTAACTCAAATAAAATGAGGTTCTTACTTATGGTGATTTGGAGATTATCTTTTTTGTGTTATCCTAATTACTGTAGGCAAATCAAGAGGTTATTTTTATTTGTTTTGTAAGTACATTTTAAGTGTATTTTCAAAAATAGCAAAATTCATAGTGTAACAAACACCATTATAAGTTTTACTGTTGACTCTAGAAATGACTAAGAAGTAACAGATTCGGCTACTTGGTGTGTACTGCTGAGTGAATGTGAGGAAGTGATTCCTGCTTCAGTGTGACTTTTATTTTGGTACCTGTCCTTAGTATGGCTGTGTCAAAGGACTGAATTGAACGTTCTTTTCCTGTTTCTTTAATGTTCAGTAATAATGATATTGTCTTCTTTTTTCAAATTTCTGGATAAGACAGTCTTTCAACTGTCTTTGCTTGAATTACTTTTTTGCATGAATTTAATAAACTTGTGTCATGTTTTAATCATTGTGGGAAAAAATAGCGAGTTTTCAAGAGAGATAATCGTTGTTTGTCCACAATCACAGATTGTCGTATAGTACATTTTGCAGAGCATTGTTCATTTTTGTCTCATACATTTATCCAGTATTGTCAGAGTGATCTGTTTCCATGCTTTCTTATCTATATTTAAGATATTTTAGTATTGTACCTTAAATGACTTTTAAAACCAATTAACCAAATTCCATATCTAATAGGATGATACATTTTTGAATTAAACTAAAGAAGCATTTTAATTCTTTTCATTAATGTTGACTTAAAGTTGTTCAGTTTGAAACTTATGCCACTGAAAAGTAACTTAGGTCATGTAGGTGAGCAATGAAATACTTATGTAGCAGCAAAAGAAATGCTGTGGATTTTATATGGATACTATAAATAAATTGATAGCTGCCTCTTTGGAATAATCCAATGTTGTAATAATAGATATATACAATTTCTAAACAACCGTACACTAATCAAGAAAGAATTATTGTATTTTGCCCCTTCTGTCAGGGAATGAGAAGAAAATAGGTCTGCTGTATGTTAAAATGTTATACCATTTCCTTTAAAATGAGCCATAATGGGGACCATGGGAATAACGGCTCTTACAGTAAAGAATGTATAACTGTTTTGTATAAAAACTTAGAGTGAAAATGGAAAGTTAAGTTCCTGCCAAATGCAGAATCAAGGAGATGTCTGTTGTAGCCAGTGTCATTGGCTAGCGTGGCAGTTGGTTAGACTCTATTTCTCAAACTTGAATATAATGTAAATCATTTTCAATGGAAAAATATTTAAAAGGACACTGATGTTGACTAAGGTATTTAGTTTATAACTCTTTTAAAAACTACAAATACAATAGTGTCTATCCAAATGCACATTATAATTCAAATGTGAAAATTTTCAAATTAAATACCAATAAGGCTATGAAACTAATTATATTAAAGTTAGCAATTAATATAGAGAATGTTTTGCTACATTGGTGGTTTTCTGAGATGAGGTAACTGCCCCACCCCCCTCCCCCCCTTCACTCAATCCCGGCCAATGCGTCCCTCCTGGGAACACATAATTTAAAGAAAAAAATAAATAAATAAATAAATAAAACTTTCCTATTCTTTTTACATTAGCCCATGGCTATGCCAGTAATTTGCACAAACCTAATGCAAACACAGGCCCTGGAAACTCTGCGTTCTGGTGGTAACACAGATGATCCACTGTATGCTTTCATTGATGTGTAGGTCATCATTGAAATGAAAAAAAAATTTTTAAAAGGTGTCACTGAGAATGTGCAGATATCCAGAGTAATTTCCTTCTCCCTTCTTTTCCCCTTCTCCTAAGTTTGAAAAACAATGGGACTTGAAAAGTAGCTCTGACCCCCTCATTTATTGGAATGACCTATTTTGATGCTGGTAGAATAACTGGTCTCCTGATGAGATTGTGAGACAAGTTTAAAAATCTCCATCTGCCTCCTCTTTTTGGGAGAGCTTACTCTTTTCTTTGAACTCTCTAACATTCCGGCAAAATTCACTTTTGATGATACATATTCACCTTTCCTTGTGTGGTTGTTTTATGCTGAGATTAAAGGTGTGTGGAGGGCAAGGATGTTCTTTCAAATTGACTGCTCAATTAACACTGCTGATTTTAAAGATCAAATCGGATTTATATTTCTTTTTGCTTTGCTGTAAAATCAATCCAGTCAGGCAAACATAATGCAAATAATAGATTACTTTATTGAGATTAATTCTGTACTCAAGAGTTAAATACACACGAAGAATGTGAAAAATGCTTCTAAGGAAGTGTTTCTTGGCAGCAGTAAAGGGCAGCTTTAACCCCATTTTGATTATGCGGTTTTGCCAGCATATACTGGTTTTGTATAACTTAATCGCTTTTACTTGGGGGCTCCATAAAGGCTTAAAAAGTAAACTGCAGAATTATTTTCAAATTAGCACTAATGCATGATTCTAAGGTTTGTGTTTTTATTTTATTTTATTTTTTTGAATCAGTGGGAATACTCATGATAAATTGTTTAAAATCTCAATTTGATATTAAATCATCTTAATGAAACATAATCCTGGAAAAAAAGGATTTACCATTGTCAGAGGCACTTAATCATTTTAACCTAATTCTTTATATTTATCCTCAACCCTTTTTATTCCTTTCCTATTAGACCCATACAGGAGAAAAGGAGAAAATCTGCCCATATTGTGGCCAGAAATTTGCCAGCAGTGGTACACTGAGAGTTCATATCCGTAGCCACACAGGTATGTAAACTGTAATTGGTGATAAAAACAACTTAAAGAAATCAAGTTCCTTTAAGACAAGGAATATAATAATCTTACAAAATATCTCCCAGATTAAGAATTAATCTTGGCTATTTTCTCTTCCTTAAAATTTTATAGAATCCAGTTCCTTACTTTAGAAAAATCTTAAATAAGTTTACTTTCCCAAACTAAGTTATATGTCTGAAATGGAAATAATTTGGCTAATGTTTTGTTGTGATATAATTGTGATTTACTGTATATTCTGTTCTAATGGAGGAATAGGGAATGGCAGTTTCACTTTTTATAGAAGGCTAAGGGCCTCCTCTTAAAATTCCTTCCTATAACTGACATCAAATGTGGCTTTTTTAAAGTTAGAAAGTTCTTGGAATACTGCCTGGATGCTGTAGGATTTTATTGGCTATGAGGGTGATGGAACCGTAATGTCCCGTATGCCATGGATTGCTTCCTAAAGGGGTCGTCCCTTGATTTCTTATGACTTTTTGTGCAGTTTCTCCCATGAAGGAGGGCTGTGCCCTTGTGAAGGCTGAATAAACAACTAAATTATTCTTTTTTAAAATTTTAACTGAAGTATAGTTGACATAGAATATTTGTTTCGGGTATACAACATAGTGATCTGATAATTATATATGTTATAAAAAGCTCACCATGGTAAGTCTAGGATAAGTCTAATTACCACCTGTCACCATACGCAGTTATTACAGTATTATTGAGTATATTCCCTATGCTGCACTTTTCAACCCCATGACTTATTTTGTGACTGAAGTTTGTTCCCTTATCTTCTTCACCTATTTCACCCATCCCCCCACTGCCTTCCCCTCTGGCAATCACTAGTTAGTTCTCTATTATTTATGAGTCTAATTCTCTTTTTGTCGTTGGTGGTGGTATTTGTTTATTTGTTCATTTATTTTTTAGATTCCACATATAAGTGAAATCATACAGCATTTGTCTTCCTCTGACTTACTTAGCATAATATCCTCTAGGTCCATCCACACTCTTGTGAATGGCAAGATATCGTTCTTTTTTCTGGTGAAATCATATTCCATCATATATATATATACCACATTTTCCTTATCCATTTATCTGTCAATGGATACTTACATTGCATTGCCTCCATATCTTGGCTCTTGTAAATAATGCTGCAGTAAACATAGAGGTGCATACATCTTTTTGAATTAGTATTTTCATTTTCTTTTGGTAAATACCCAGAAATGCAATTACTGGATGGCATGGTACTTCCAATTTTAGGTTTTTTTTTGAGCACCCTCCAAACTGTTTTCCAGAGCGGCTGCATCAATTTAAATTCCCACCAGCAGTATACGAGGGTTACCCTTTCTCCACAGTCTCACCACCACTTGTTATTTCTAGTCTTTTTGATACTAGCCATTCTGATTGGTGTGAGATGTTATCTCATTGTGGTTTTGATTTGCATTTTCCTGATGATGAGTGATGTTGCACATCTTTTCATGTGTCTATTGGCCATCTCTATGTCTTTTTTGGAAAATGCCTCTTTAGGTCTTCTGCACATTTTTTCGTTGGATTATTTGTTGTTTTGGTCTTGAGTTGTATGAGTTCTTTACATATTTTGGATATTAATCCCTTACTGGATATATCTTTTGCAAATATCTTTAAACAATTAAATATTCTTGACAGGACCTTGTCTGGATTTTATCTGTCATGTAGAGAAATACTTGAGAAGACTTGAGAAAATACTCTGAATATTGATAGCCAGATCATTTTACCTGAATCTTAATGGTTTTCAGTAGCTGGACTGTATGTGGTAAAATGTAACTAGATTACATTGCTGAGGCTTCCTATTCAAGAGCCAGAATATTTGACTTTATCATTGTAGCCCCAGTACCTCATGCAGTAGACGTCTAGCATAGTAACTATTTTGTGGATGAGGAAATGTTAACTTACATAGACCAAAGAATCAATAGCACAACTATTACACATAGGTGGGGGAAAGGACAGCTGTGGAACATAATTTCTTATTCTGGAATTTTTTTGGCTAAAGCTAAAAGACATAATGTCAAAATAGTATTTGTAATCTTAGAGTGGTCTCTTAAAATACTTTTAAACTAAACCTATAACCAAGAACATATCAAACATTATACATGATGGATGTAGAATAATGGGTGCCCTAAAGAGAGAAAGGAGGTCTTATTGCTTAGAAGTATCCAGGGAAAGTGAAGTTTTGAGAACCAAAACAGAAGCAGAGAACAACAAAAAGAAAAGAAGCAAAAGGAAAAGAGCGGTAGAGAGCCATGTGGATGGAGGGTGGGTGGACTTAAAATCGTGCCAGAGTCTTAGCACTGTGTCCTGATTGTACAGAAGAAACAAGTGATTGATATAATTTCTTATATTATTCTTTTCTCCTTTTCTTAGGTTTTTCCTTCTTACAGATACCATCCTGAGAATTTTATGTTCAATATCTTTCCCTTTCCTTTCTTTCAAGTTTATCAAGGTCCTAAGTCGTTGAATATGCTGAAACTTTAATAATTTATAGACATAATCTTGATTGACTATTGATAAGGAGCTAATTTACTGTCACGTTGTCTGGCATTTTTTTTTTAATGTATTACCCTTGGAAAAATGCATTTTTGATGGAAAAAATGCATTTAGGTGGCTGTGTTCCTGATTAACCTGACCTTTTTGTTTAATAAGTGTTGAAAGGAGAACTTGGTTGGAAAAATTATTTTTAGTGTTGTTTTAAATTCTGAGCTCTGTGTTTTTAACTAACTTCTTTCTTAAAATTAAACTGTAATGATCTCCAAGATAATCTATCAAAAATTTAATTTACCTTGTCACATCAAAAGTTGTCCTTGGCTTTTTAAATTATTACTATCTTCTTTATTAGACATAAACTCAAAGTATGCTTGATTTCTAAGTCCAAAAAGAGATCATAGGCAGTAAAATTTGTTTAAAAAAAAGAACAATCTCCTGTTCCTTGAAGAGCTATTGATAATAGGGGGAAAAAAATGGAAATAGAGTCTTTAGTTTAGAAGATTGGTTAAATAAATTATGGTCTATCTATAAATTGGAATATTCTGTGACCAATACCATATATTAGTAATCATATATTTGTTAACATGAAAAGAAATGTGTTATAAAAACAAAATGATATATTTTTGTAAGGATAATATATTTATATATAAAGGCCTTAGAGGTTAAATACTGAATTATTAATTGTGGTTATTTCTTTGTATTATAAATATGGACAATTTGAATTTTCTTGATGATTTTCTGTGCTTTCATATGTTTCTTGTCTAATAAAATATTTAAAATATATTAACATGATTATGCAGGTAACTGCTATTATTAGGTTTATGCTAAATTACTTAGGTGTGACATGTTTCTGCATCTGATTCTCAAATGGAGCAGCAAAAAGAAGTGCAAAAAATATATTTAAAAAAAGGAGAAATGAGAATGAGAAAGCAAATACGGTGACATTAAACCCAAGTGAGGGTATATGTGGCTTATTGTACTATTTTTCCAATTTTTCTGCCTGTTTGAAAATTTTCATAATTAAAAGTGGGAGTGTTCTATTCCAGTGAGAACAATTGAATGGATGCAGATGCTAACTAAGTGCCGCTAAGAGCTGTGTCCTGAACATCCAGCTTCACAGCTTACATCTTGTTCGCATCTCTCTCAAAGCCTAGTTCTTTCAACAGGAAGACTTCTATTCTTTAAATATAAACAGACTTTTTATTGTTTTATTTTGTCGCTTACAGTCATACCACTCAGAGAGAAAACTCAGATTCTTCTGAAGAAGCAGAACTTCATTACTGCATGCTTAGTCATCTTCTTGAAAAAGGAATTCCATGAAATTTGCTATTGGCATAGTCTTTAGAAGTTTTTTTTTTAAATATATTGTAAAGTATATCTATTTTTTACAAAAGAAGGTTTAAAGAGTTGGTAAGGCTTACCCAGTCATGCTGTTATCCTACTATAAATCTCGCAGTGGTTTCCCCTTGCTTTCTGCAAAATGACTGTCCCTTACCTATCACGAGACTCATCAACTACCAATTCCTCTCACAGTTGACATTCCAGGCTCAGTTATTAGGCTTCTTTTGCTTTCCCCCAGTCTCCAAGTAAATGTAACTTTCTCCACAATATGTCACGTGACCATCCCTTATTCCCACCACATTTGTGCTTCTCTCAACACCGCATGCTTCCAAGTGCTCATACTTCTTCAGTCATCTGTAAGTTCTCTGTTCCTTTAGAGCTGTGCCTATATCTGATAACTTACTTGTTTACTATTCAGAGAACTGACTGGCATGGAGAAAGAACCTAGAGAATGCTTCTTGAATAAATAAAAGAATCTACAAATACATTACCATACCTGTGGGATAGTGGAAAGAATGCTGGCTTCATAGCAAGAAGTCCTGGATTTGAGTCTAAATTTAATTGACCACAAAATCATTTTTTAATAAATTATACAATCATGGAATTCACTTTGAGAAATGTTAAAATCAAAGAATAAAATTACTGAACTCCCCAATCTATTAGCCAGTCCCACCTCAATATAAAGTTGGGCCCTTTGCTCTCCTTTCCATTCTTCACCTCACTGCTTTATCATGCTGTTGGTTGGAAACAATTGTATAACAGATAATAATTAACAGCATGGTTTAAGATTTAGCTCACCAATATATATAAAATCATAGTGCTTAAATGAAGGAATAAAGAGCAACATCTGGCCAACCAGTATTAAAAACTTACCATGACTCTTTTTAACTTGGAATTGGCTAGTTTTTAAAATTCTTATTAGAAAAAAGGTAGAGGAAATTGGTCCTGACAAATGCCCTATCCATTTTGTTTGACAAAGTCCACTCTACAGGAACTGGAATAATTACAAACAATTGTGTAGTATATTATAGTCTCTTGCTCTTCATAGCCTCTCATCTAGTAGAGATTTGGGGCTCCCCTTGCTTACTATATATAAACATCTCTTTTCAATTATGATATTATACTTACTTTGC